CCTGTTATCCCTTTAAAAATAATTGATCCTTTCTTTTCACATACTTTCGAGCCGGACTATTTTCGAAATGTCCACCGAGAGAGAAAGCTACTACTCGCATTTACGTACGTACATACATATATCTATATACACTACATATTTGTATATACCCTCTTCCCCTCCCCCTCCCCCTCCCCCTCTCCTCCGCCCAACTTTAACCCTTTCTCTCTCACTCTCTTTCACGTTGGTTGTCGACTTCATTTCTCTCGAGACTCGGCCGCTGCGACACTCGGCGAAAAAAGAAGGCAACCGCGAGATATTATCCGGCACAATGAGCGTACGAAAGAAAGGATTTTAAACGAGTAGGAGCAATAGAGAGAGAGAGAGAGAGAGAGACAGAGAGAGAGAGAGAGAGAGAGAGAGAGAAAAAGTACCTACGATTCGTGGAAAGAGAAAGGTACTTCAGGACGATGCCATCTCTCTCGCTGTATTTGCGAAAGATCCTTTTTTTTTCTCTCTCTCTCTTTCTCTTTTATTCGTATCCGTTGTTGTTGTTGTTGTTGTTTTCAACCATCCCATCAATGCTATTCCATTTTTGCATAATGCTTCTCATCGTGGAATGCGTGTCTTGTACTTGGCATCGTCTAACTTATTACAACGATAGATCCACCCCTTTTTCTTGATTTTAAATTGAACCTCCATCATAAAACGTTAGAAATTTTAATCGCATATTCTACGAAACTGCAATTTTTTTTGTTTGTTCCTCGATCGACTTTCGATTGGACATATTTTAAATGCGAATATATATATTATATATATATATATATATATATATATATATATAAAAATGCACATCGTTGTCACCTGTTGCTCGATATACTACTCTCTGTAAATAAAATTTGTACGAGACGATTACGAGCGTCAATTGATTGTTTTTATATTCGATTATGTTATATATAAAAAATCAAGACTTTTATATTATTATTAATACTATTATTATTATTATTATTATTATTATTATTATGTTACGTTATAAAGGTTGAAAATGAAAAATAAACGAAAGGGTTACAATTAACGCGTTCAAGCTCATACGAAGAAAGTAAAGTACTGATTTTGTTAAGCGATAATAATAAAAAAGTTTTCTGCGAGTTCACTCGTACATGAACGCGATTAAAAAAATTTTTTTTTTTTCCTAACTAACTTTTTCATCCTAAAAATGAAAAAGAAAATGAAAATATCCACCTAGACGAATTTTTCTTATTATCGTTTGTTTCGCTCTAATAAATTTCAATTTTAATATTAAACGCGAGTTTAAATCTTTTTTAACATTTTAGATATTATTTTAAGATATCATATTTATTTTCTATTTTTTATTTTTTTATTTTATATAATATATTTTATTTAATAAATAAATATATATATATTCTAGATTTTATATAATATATTAATATTATTATATATTATTTTTAATATATTATATATATTTATTCTATATTAATTTTTGTTATATTATATATATTATATTAATATATTAATATATAATATAATATATAATATATAATATATATTGAGATAAATAATATTATAACAAGATTAATATTATTAATATTATTTACTGTGTATTTGCTTATTCACGGTTACTATGAACAATCGTTGTCGCATTTCAATAAATACTTATATATATATATATATATATATATATATAATAATTTATAAAAAAGAAAAACGATTAGAGAAAGGGGTTCGTTGCTTTAGTGAGAAAAATCCAAAAGACTATGCTTTTATCAAGCAAGGTGGAAAATGCGATTGCTTGAAAGGAGACGGCGACGCTCTCGACAACGTGCCGCTATTTTGCGTACGCTCGTCGTCACCCAGAGTGGGAAAGAAGGAAGGGTAGAAGGTTGGAAGGGTGAAAACGCCAAGAGCTTCTACTACGACGAAAAGTGGAAACGCGTATCTCTCCCGTTCTCTCTCTCTCTCTCTCTCTTTCTCTCTTTCTCTCTCACTCATTCCTGTTCTGTTTCTCTTTAGTTCTATCTCATTCTAACGTTCTTGGTCTCTTAGAATACTTGAAAGTGCAACGACGCCTGCGCCACGCGAAAATCTCAATCCACCCTCACTCACCTCGGATGTATCATCCGAGCGTGAAACGTTGCCACGACTGTGAAACTTTCGGACTACGATTGCTGCCGAGCGTCGCAATGTCGAAACCCAAATCTCTCTCTCTTTCTTTCACCATTTTCTCCTTATCCTCCATCTCTTTCTATCTCTCTTCTTATTCCGTCGTCGCATTGATACTCTTAGAAATTTTTGACGATATAAACTTTTCGATGTTTCAAACTATTTTCCAATAAGCAACGCATCGATTTAAACCAGGGTATTTATTTGTTAACCTTTTAGGCAGTACGCGTCAATATAGTGGCTTTCGTGGATACCATCTTCCAGTACGACATGACGACATGCTACTATAGTGGTTTTCGTGGATGTCATTTTCAAATATGACGCACCACTATAGTGTAGCTTTCGTGAATGTCAATTTCCAATATGACGCGCCACTATAGTGTAGCTTTCGTGATTATCATTTCCAAATACAACGCGCCACTATAGTGTTGCTTTCGCGAATGTCATTTTCAAATACGACGCGCCCCATTATAATGGTTTTCGTGGATGTCATCTTCCATTACGACACGTCACTATAGTAGCTTTCGAGGTTGCTATCTTCCAGTACGACGCGCCATTATAGTGGAGCGTCATGAATAACATATTTTAAAATATATCATACTTATTTTTATTATTAATTATTTAAATAAATTGTGTCCTAAGTTAAAATATATGTATATCATTTCTTTGAAAAAAAAAAAAAAAATTATTATTTAATCATAAACAATTGTATTCAAATGTACTCGACTTATAGAACAGCATTTTGTTCGTCACACATGGTAGTTTTATCATTTACACGTAATTCTCGTTCGAACCCTTTTCTACAGAGAAACAGTCTCGCGCAATATTCAGCAGTGCCTAAGAGAGAAAGAGAGAGAGAGAGAGGTTAATAACGCGTATAGTAATCGATCGAGTTTTAAAGGGAAACTTACGAAGAACATACTACGACTCGACATACTTGCAAATTATTATCGTCATTTTTTGTTTCTTACTTTATTTCTTTTTAAAATCGTGATAAATTATGTAAATATGTTTGAAAACGATAAGTAATAGAAATTCAGTCACGTTTAGAAAATAGTTAAAGATAAAAAGTGTAATCTCTCTCTCTCTCTTTCTCTCTCTCTCTTTCTCTCTCTCTCTCTCTCTCTCTAAGTTATTCTTTACCATTCTTTTCTCATTACGATTTACGTTTCGGAGTATCCATTTTAACATATGCGAAGAGAAGAATCTTTCCAACTTATCTTGCGACGCGCACGATAATCATGCGAGTTCAGAGAAACCTGCCGTCAGCGAATTCCACTTGCAAATAAAATCTTTGTTTCTTTTCTCTCTCTCTCTCTCTCTCTCTCTTTCTCTTTGTTACGACAAAGGAATGACGAGAAGAGGAAGGTAAGAAGAAAATAAGTCAAATGAAAATCAAAATCAAAATTATTATATCATATTATCAATAATTTTTGTCAAATTGGACCACAATACAATTTATTATGAGATCTAAATTTACACACACATACACATACACATACACACAGACTGAAATCCAAAATTATTATATATTATTTTTATATAATTGTATTAATATTATATATATAATTATTATATCATATTATTAATAATTTGACAAAAAATAATTCTTTTTTTTTTTTTTTAATAATAAAACCAGAATACAATTTATTATTTGATCTAGATTTACACATACACACACATACATATACACATACACACACAAAATAAAGATAACTGCTATCCAGTACTTCACAGGATTAAATTTCAAAAATCTTATTCCAATGTTCAGAACGAAGGTCTACGCTTGTAAAAAGCAACGAGCAGTTCCTTTCACCAGTGTCCTTTTTAAGAAGGAAATACGCGTGGAAGGATACAGAAAAAGATCTCGTAGCAAGGGACACAAAACGAGAGAAGGACGACGACGACGACGACGATGACGACGACGACGACGCGTGGCTCGTCGAGGCGTAGGCGAGCGAGTAGCGCACGAGTTACCCTTTTCAACCTTCGACCTAAAATATCAACTCGTCTCTCTCTCTCTCTTTCTATCTATCTCACTCTTACTCTCGAAAAGTTCACGTTACACAAAAATATACAACACGCGACAAAAATTTGTCCTTTTCCCACTGGAGTTAAGTAGATATAACGAGCCTTTTTATGTGCCGAGAGATTGAAGCGTGAACAAAAATCAAAAATTCATCAGGGAGTAATCCCAATGCGTCTGAACTCATTCGATGCTTTCGATTTTTGAGAGAAAAATAAATTATCGACGACAACACAAAGAAAGAAAAAAAGAAAAATACAATATAAAATAAAAATCAAGAAACCAAAAGAAAATATTCGATTGGTTTTACACAGTCAAACGAATTTGAACAATTTTGAATCCCATTTTTCGGTTTCTTATTGTTCGTAGATTTTTTTTTGTAAGTTCACGTTTTGTTTGGAAATGAAATTGTAGGTTACTCTTTATTATTAGGTCACCCTTATATATGAACACTTATGGTTGGTTTAGGTTTTGACGATTAGACGATGACGATGACGATGACGATGATGATGAACACCGTGCGTTACTTGTTATCACACTTACACACTATCGTTGGTTTAATTAAACACAAATTTCTTATTGGTAAAAAACAATTCTAGGAAAACAGTGCATTTTGACCATTTTATTATCGATAAAAGGTAACAAACGAATTATAAACATTTTCCTATTGTCAAATATCGTCGAACGAGAGAGTCAATTAAATCGATGGAATAATATTGACATCACTCTTTTGTTTGTTCGTTAATTTTCAACATTGTTTTCCTATCAAAAAAAAAAAAAGAAAAAAAAGGAAAAAAAAGTCGATATACTCGGTTATATTTTGGCAGAACCACATTCTTTTAAATATTTGAATACCACTTTGATATATATATGTATATACATACCTATCGTTGAGAGTTTCAAATCACGAATAATAAAACAATATAAATCACTTTTACTTAACATAAATATAAATATATAACATTTAAATCGTAAAAATGAAGCTTGGTGATCGAAATACAGCATCCTTGGTAGAATAGAATCAATCGGACTTACCTGAAACAGAAAAAAGAATGTTTTTTTAGTCATATGTTACAAATTACGAATCAAAATTGGAGACACACATTTATTTTGTGTATTCGTAAAAAATCTTTTGTAATACGTTTATTTTTTTTTTTATTAACAATAAATTTCAATAATATTAATTTCTTATATTTCAGGCTTATTTTTCGTAATGTTATTATAATTAGAATATTTCTAAACGAAGTATTAATATTAATAAAAATTTCTTTCCTTCTTGTATTCTATTGAATTTTGTCTTTAGGTGATTATTATCACGTCACGAATTAATATTAATATAATAATTATTTAACAAGAAATATTAATTCGTTTCTACTTGGTAACTTCTAATTTAAATTATAATTAAAATATAAATTATAATTAATATATATTAAACATATATAATATATTAATACTATATATATATTTATTATTAATTTATATTATAATTTAATAATTATATAAATTAATTTATATATTATTTTATATAATTATATATTTATTATTATATAATAATATAAGAGAAATATAATTAATTCGCAGGTTCATATATCTAAAAAAAAAAAAAAAAAATATAATAAAAATGTTTTTTTTACTACATCTCGTAAATTCAAAAGCAAACCATAATAACCAAAAGTATAATACGATAGTCAGAACAATGGGTTCGATGAATATAAATTATTTCTTTTTTTTTTATTTCTATTTGTCGAAATGGTCAAAATAATAATAAAAGAACAATATAAATTATAAAAGACTTCGTCGCAGAGACAAGTTCACCTTTCCACGTTCACTAACACGTTCACCTCCAAATAATTAACCAATGAGTTCGTAGTAATGTCACGGTAATAAAGCACGGAATGATTTTACCCGTTATTGTTACTAGCCAACGAGAACGGTGGGTTCTCGGACTCTCTGACATCCGATTCGCTCGCGTGTCCCACTTTTCCCACGCGCGATCGTTGCAATGCTTTCTGCTGTTGCTACTTTGTAGCTTTCACGAGAGCAACAGCAACGCCTCGACGTTTTAGAGACCGTTACTCCTTGAACATAAATCTTGCTATCTTTTCAAATCATTTGTCCGTACCTTCGCGACTCCGCTTACCATCAACAACAACAACAACAACAATAACAACTTATATTGAAAATTATTCTATAGGAATTTAATCCTTTGGGTATACATTTTATTTGAAAATTATTTACTAGAAATATTCGAATAATTTAAATATAACATTTAATTAACACTATAATATTATAATTTAATATAATATTTATATTATAAATTATATTAAATATTATATAATAAATTAAAAATTAAATATAATATTATATAAAAATTATGCATTCCTTTATAAACAAAAACAAAAAAAAACTAGAATAAAGAACAAGTAAAATTTATAACTTTCTTTCTCAATAACAACATTAAACTATATAATCCCTATTTAACTTTACGATCAATTATCACCACCATCGAGAAGAATAATCATACAAATTGCTTGTATAAATAACTCGACACTCTTATATTCCCAACTATAATATAAACTCGTGAATATCGATTACTTTCTTTCCCTAGACACAAAAGTACGTAATAATATCGACTGAAATTTCAATCTGTCTCAAGAGGAAATGCACAAGGGAGGGGAGAGTTTCGTCGTAAGATGGGCCTTAAAGCACGTTCGAACGTAGATAGGAGAAATTACCGAGTTGTGAATCATTGCTTTGAGAACGTTCGTTCTGAGTGAGGAGGGCCACAGCAGATAGAGATAGAGATAGATAGAGAGACGCGTAGCGAGAGAGAAAGGGAAGGGCAGAAGAGGATAAGAAGAAGGGTTGGGAGAGACGCGCAACAGTGTTTACACTTGGCGGTCAATGAACGCCATCCATGATCTCGGAAACCAGACCACGAACCACGTCTGCCTTCTTCTTCTTCTTCTTCTTCTTCTTCTTATCCTTCCTTTCTCTCTCTCTTTCTTTAAACGTTCTACATTATTTCATATTTTCTTTATTTTATTCTACAATCATATCAAATCAAATATAACTTGACTTTTAATTATAGAAAATAGTAGTACGCGTTTTTTTAAAAGACAAGTTAGTTAAATCATAAAATGAAAAATTCAATTTGCAAAATAACTCTTGAGATACAGTGTGCTAACCATTTTGAAAAGATTTAGTAATTAAATGGGCATAGGGAGAAACGAGTAACTTTGTCGGGTTTAGGGCAATTCATTTGAGGAAGATTTTTTTAAATTAAAAGTGACGACGATAGTAGCTAAAGCAAAGGAAGAAGGGTGGATAGAGAAGAGAGGAAGATAAATAGAAAGAAAGAAAGAAAGAGAGAGAGAGAGAGAGAGAGAGAGAGAGATAGAGGAAGAAAGGTGGTTTCTCTTTGGCAGCCCCCGAGGCTGGTTCGATTTATCGGCGAATGGATGAATCCGGGTGCAGGGCCGCGTAAACGGCCAGGAGGGCGATGCTTGCATAAAGTGGTGGAAAATTCGGGTTGAAACCTGTGAAAGCGAGGAAAGAAGATCAATAAAGTGGTGTGCCATACTGTCGGTGCCACTGGTGTGTCGTTGTATAGTGGCTGGCTGCTTCGTTGGTGTGTATTATTAAGCGGAGGTGTAGAGATAGCTAGAACGAACGAGACGAGACGAGACGGGACGGAACGGAACGGAACGGAACGGGACGGGACGGGAGAGAAAAAGAGAGGCTCATAGAAGACGGAAGAAGAAGAGAGGGCGGATAGAAAATGTAGGACAGACGTAATAAAAACTAAGCAGAGAAAGAGAGACGACACTAACCGTGGTTCTCGAGAAGCAACGACGCAAGCTTAACCATATCCCTCTGACTATCAGAGACACGAAGTGGCCTGGGAAAAGACTTGGTTGGTGTCAGGCATTAAACTGAAACCAAGTCGACGTTAACGTCAACACGTTGTTCACTATTTAAACGTTTCTTCGACGTTTATGAATTTATTTCTTTTATATTTTTGTTTGTTGCTTTTTTATTAAGTACAAGATATTTCTTTTATTTGATAAATTAGATCATTGTAGAATTTGTTATTCAACTTCAATACATCTTTCCGAATGTCAATATTTAAACATACGAAGAAATATTTTGATTACATATTTATATGAACCTTATTAAAGTTCTCCGATGATAATTCACGTAAACGAGAGCAAAGATTAAGTAGAGATTTAAGAAAGGACGAGAAATGAGAACCCCTGAATATCGAGGTGCCGCGTTCCCCCTTTATGCAGCCATTGGCGTAGACACGTTAACTCTTGGAGGACAGAATCGAGGGTATCGTATGACTTTATACAAGAAAATCATTTGAATAATCATAACATGACTATAATGTTACTACTTTCGACGAAATCATCTTCCTCGGACTTCTTGAAATTTCTTTTACATTTTATTACGGTTTTCCCTTTTTTTTTTTTTTCGTTTTTATCAAGGATTTGAAACGTCTTTTCGTAAGAACACGAGATCGTGTCTACCTCCCATTTTCTTTTCTTTTTTTTTTTTTTCTTCTCATTCTTTTCTCTTCCAACCAAATGATCCGAGCTTTCCAAGCTCCTCCACTTTTCCCCCGTTAACTTCTACCGTTCTTGAACGAACCCTTCACGCTTCGTGCGACCGACTGGAACCGAACGTAACTTGGCCTCCTACTTTCCACGCGTCAAACCTCCCCCACCACCCAAGATTCTCATAGTAATCTTTCTTCTTCCGAGAATCTCCGATCCGACGTTTGTATTCTCGCGCCTTCGACGACCTTCCCTCCTGACCTCGAACGTTTCTTTGTCCTTTTTATCTATAGAACGAAGATATTGTACCTCTCTCTCTCTTTCTCTCTCTCTCTGTTACTAGCAATATTTTATTTTGTATCCTCTAGTATTAAAACTTTTTGTTTACATTTACATTTCTTTCCAAGTAATACGGTTATTCTAAGAAAATATAGATATATGTTTTAAAATAAAAATATGTTTTGTTTTGTTTTTTTTTTTTCCTAACAGTATCGATATTACATAGAAAAGTTTATTCTCTAGAAATAGCAAACTATGTGTATAACATATGACAACGTATGTATCTATCTATATTCATATTATAATAAACAAAATCAATTTATTCATTCAAGTTTTCCAACAAGACCGATAAACTTTTAACTTCTTTTCTACAAATGTGATTTGATATTACACGCTTTGAATTAAAATAACAAAAAAAAAAAAAATGTTAAAATCAAATTACAATCAATTTTATTCTTATCGTATTATTCACGACAGATAATACATTTAAATATTATTATCGAATACGAATTAATGATAAAACGTCTTGATAATAAATTCCATGATTGAGAATTACTTTGGCTTTTGTTATCCTTGACAGCAACAACCCACAGGAGTTTACTGTAAAATTCCCACACCGAACAACACTCTCTTTCTCTTCGTTTCCATCTCTTTCGTTTCAGTCGTCGCGTGCGCAGCAACACCCTCCTCAACCCACCCCCTCCAACCCCCTTAAGAAAGCGAGGAACGTTTGGAAGCAGCTTTCCGTTTCTCTTCCCCTATTTTTCCTTGAGAAGAAAACGGGGGGGGGATGGGGTGGTGGTGGTGGTGTCTCGTTTCCGGTCTTTCTCTCTCGACCTTCTTCATAAGAAATCCATACCCCTTTTTCCATCTCCATTTTTAGCACCCATATCCTATGCATTTCCCATAGGAATACGTTTTAATAGTTCACCTTAAAAGCTGTATCTGATTCATTGACCCTTTAGAGTTGGGTGCTTTAATCTCAACATCGTACAAATTCGAACCCATATAAACGCGTGGTGGCCCTCAACCATCCTTATAAATTCATAATACCTTCATTACCCATTATTTCACTTATTAACGTTTCCATTTCCATCGTTACGAAACAAATATCTGATAATAAGAGAAGAATATAGATAACTAACACATATACATATATATGATACATATATGACATAATATAAATGACAGTTTTCCATAGGGCAAATCGAACGAGTATATTAACCCATTGACTGGCAGACATATTTAGAGGGTCTTGCCTTAAATTTTGAAAAATATAATAATATTAACCCTTTGCATTTCGAGTGTTTTTTTTTTTTTATTCAAGTGTGCAGCAACTGACACGTGACATTCTTGCATTTTCTTGCATTGGAACATTTGAAAAATAAACTTCTGTTTTACTAAATATCTTAATGTTATTATTAATTTATTTATTAGTAATAAAATAAATACAATTTGATATTAATATTATTTTGTATAAATAATAATTTTACAATTAATTTTCATGTAATTTGTATTATACATATAAATACGTATAATATTATTGTATTATTTATAATTATAAGTAGTTATAATATAAAAACTTATATAATAATTTTTATATTTAAATATAAATTATATTTAATACAATTTACATTTTTATATTATATTAATAAATAAAAGAAAAATCAATATATTTATATTTTTATAAAAAATCATTGATAGCAACTGGTACAATAGTGGTGGTGCCTACTGAGTGCAAAGGGTTAAGTTACTGATATAATATTGTAATGATATTTACAATAATTGATAATTAATGTTTTTTACATCATAAAAAAATATTTTATTCAACCTTTTTAAATAATTCTTAACGCAAATAACCATTTGTAATTAATCGAAAATTGCACCATACACTACGAGATATCTCATAGTTGACAGTCAATGGGTTAAACTTTATTATTATTATTATTAATATTATTATTTTTCTCATGGTAGTAAGCTGTAACCGAGATATTAATCGGTAAAAAAAAGGGGGATGAATCTCTGGAAAGAAAATAAAATAACGAGGAGTAGGAGGAAAAGGAGGATACGTTAAGCGACGAAGCGGTAAATGTGGAAAAGAGGATGTGCGAGAAGAGGAATAGAGAGAGATAGATGGATGATGTATAGAGAAAATGTTAAAGAAAGACAGACAGAAAGAGAGAGAGAGAGAGAGAGTGAGTGAGTGAGTGAGTGAGGAAGAAGAGAAGAGGTCGGCAGGTTTTAGCAGCGTCGCTCGATCGCAAAAGCTTCGCGACGACTCTTGCCACCCTTTCCACGGCCCTCTCGACATCCTTCTTTCGTCCCTCGGTATGGCTAGAGGTGGATAGAGGTGGTATAATAGTAGGTGGTAGACGGGTAAAGGCAGTAGTAGGTGCCTCCATGTTATGCAGCCCCACCACCAACTCCATCCTGACCAACCGGCTGTTTACTGTTTGGCCTCCCGGGATATCGATCCCAGTGGCGTAAGAACCATCAGCCTAGGAGCCCCCTCTGACTGAAAGAGAGAGAGAGAGAGAGAGAGAGAGGGAGGGAGGAATAGAGGAGAACGGAGGGTTCCGGCCGCGGCTGGTTGCCAACCGACCTTGTTGATACGGCATAAATCCGACACTATTCGCGACCCTCTCTCGGTCGACGACACTCCGCTAAATTGCCTTCGACGGAGTGGCACCCACCTTTAATTGGGTATATACGTTTCCTTCCGGGACAATCGAAATCTAGCTGCTCTATACTCAACTTTTTTACTTTTTACGATTTAATGTATATATATTTATTTTTGTATAGGTTTTATATTATTATTTCAATTTTAATTTTTATTTTTATTATTATTGTTATTTTATATTATTATATAATATATAAAAAATAATATTATAATATATAATA